TTTCTTCTATCGAGAGTGTCCGAGTAATTATTCAAGGTTTGTATTTTTTCCAACACTGAAGTGACTTAATTTCGCTTCCCTAAATTTCCTTCTCATCGGCTCTTCCGCAAACAAAACAGTTTGAATACCCTATCCAACTTCTCCATCCCTGAATTGCACAGCAAATCGGCATTTTGATGCAAAAATACACATGATACAAAATTACACTTTATTCGCATCGTGTATCTTGATTCTGGTACATCACTCAATACCACTTGATGACAGAAATAGGTATCCCATATTTCACGACTCGCTATTTATACAACATTGATGCAAATTTAGTAATATATAGCGCCCTTAATTGGCATGCCCTATTCTGAGCCATTATAGTCTGGTCCTCAGACCAAAAAAAAAATCTGATTTGTTAGGTCATGGAACCAGACTAATGCATTATTGTGTCGGCTAGCAATGACCAGAGTGAACCTGGCCGCGTATTCGGCCAGATACCACAGCCGCGTATTCAGCCGTGTATTCAGCCGCGTATTCATCTAGTACGGAGGCCAATAAACAACATTAATGCTGTTATAAATTTTTGATATTTAATGCGGATTTCATCAAGGAGTGTACCTCAAATGAAGGACGTCAGTAAAATGTTTGATGGTCAGTTATTGAGGACTCATGGCTTCCTATATAAAACTATTTCGGTTTCAGATCTAGAGCAGCTATGAATCACGTGATACGAGTCTTGGGAAATTTCGTACTAAAAATAGCAGTTTGTGGTTAAATAACATTATGCCTAACTTTGAGACAAAGTGTACCAAAAAGTGCAGGAGAAACAGTCGAATTGCCGATAATATCTTAGAGAAAGGTGACCTCCCTAGACTCTATTTTGGTTTCAGCTGCATGACGTGCATATAGACACGTGGTCAGTGGCTATACAAAATGGGCTTTCACCGCCAAATTTACATCTTTTATATATTTAATGCGGATTTCAGGAAAAAAGTGTACCGAAAATGCAAGATGTCCGAATTATGTTTGATGGTCAGTTATTAAGGACTAAAGGCTTCCTATAAATTATTTTGGTTTCAGATCTAGAGCAGCTATGAATCACGTAATACTCGTCCTGGGAAAATTCGTACTAAATAGCAGTTTGCGGTTAAATAACATTATGCCTAACTTTGAGACATTGTGTGCCAAACAGTGTAGGAGAAAAAGTGAAATCGCCGATGACTTCTTATAGAGTGGTGGCTCACCTACACTCTATTTCGGTTCAGGTGTGTAGGTCATAATCTGTCACGTGAGAAAGGCATAACAAAATGGGCTTTCACCGCCAAATTTACATTTATTTTATATTTAGTGCTGATTTCAGGAAGAAGTGTACCGAAAATGCAACATGTCCGAATTATGTTTGATAGTCAGTTATGGAGGACTAAAGGCTTCCTATAAATTATTTTGGTTTCAGATCTAGGGCAGCTATGAATCACGTGATACTCGTCCTGAGAAAAAAAATGTACTATTATAAAGCATTTTGCGGTTGTGCAACAATAAACTAAAGTTAAACTTCGAGACAAAGTGTACCAAACAGGGAGGGAGAAAAGTCAAATTGCCGATGACATCTAAAAGAGTGGTGGCCCGCCTACACTCTTATTTGGTTTCAGGTGTGTGGGGTATATCTGTCACGTGACAATGGCATAACAAATATGGGCGAACACCGCAAAATTTACTTTATTTTATATATTTAATGCGGATTTCAGGAAAAAGTGTACCGAAAATGCCACATGTCCAGATTATGTTTGATGGTCAGTTATTGAGGACTAGAGGTTTCATATAAATTATTTTGGTTTCAGATCTAGGGCAGTTATGAATCACGTGACACTCGTCCTGGGAAAATTCGTACTAAAAAAAATAGCAGTTTGCGGTTAAATGACATTATGCCTATTGAGACAGAGTGTACCAAACAGTGTAGGAGAAAAAGTCAAATAAAGTAAATTTGGCGGTGAAAGCCCATTTTTGAATGCCATTGTCACCTGACAGATACATCCCCACACACTTGAAACCAAAATAGAGTGTAGGTGGGTTACCACTCTATAACATGTCATCAGCGATTTGACTTTTTCTCCTTCACTGTTTGGTACACTTTGTCTCGAAGTTTAACTTAAGTTTAATGTTGCACAACCGCAAAATCCTTTTTTAGTACGATTTTTTCTCAGGACGAGTATCACGTGATTCATAGCTACCCTAGATCTGAAACCAGAATAATTAATAGGAAGCCTCTAGTCCTCAATAACTGACCATCAAGCATAATTCGGACATGTTGTATTTTCGGTGCACTTTTTCCTGAAATCCGCACTAAATATAAGATAAATGTAAATTTGGCGGTGAAAGCCCATTTTGTTATGCCATTGTCACGTGACAGATACACCCAACACACCTGAAACCAAAATAGAATGTAGGTGGGACACCACTCTTTAAGATGACATCGGCGATTTGACTTTTTCTTCAACACTGTTTGGTACACTTTCTCTCGAATTTTAAGTTAAGTTTGAATAATGTACAATTACCGCTAAATGCTATTTTAGTACGATTTTTCTCAAGACGAGTATCACGTGATTCATAGCTGCCATAGATCTGAAACCCAAAATAATTTATAGGAAGCCATGAGTCCTAAATAAGTGACCATCAAGCAGTGGCGTAGCCACGGGGGGGGGGGGGGGGGGGGGCGGGCGCGTCAGCCTCCCCCCATGAAACCTTGTCGCTCCCCCAGTTCCCCCCCCCACCGAGATTTTGAGTTTCAAAAAAAATTATCATTGATCTACATGACGCCCCCCATGAAATGTTCCAGCCCCCTCCCCCCCCCCCCCCCCCCCCCCCGCGCCCCCATCTGAAAAATTCCTGGCTACGCCACTGCCATCAAGAATAATACTGACGTCCTTCATTTTTGGTACACTCATCGAAGAAATCCGCATTAAATATATATAATTTATCACATCAATAATGTTGTTTTTTGGCCTCCGTACTTTATGAATACGCGGCTGAATACACGGCTGAATACGCGGCTGTGGTATCTGGCCGAATACGCGGCCAGGTTCACTCACTAGCAAACTGTTGTAAGTCGATTTATCTTATACATCAATGTCGAATGACAGTGGAGAATCATTTTGAAGAGTAAGGAGAAACCAGTGAGCAGTTGTCGAGATTAATCAACAGTGAAGGTGAGTTTATACTAATTCCGTGCTCCCATTTTCTAACAAAAATGTTGTAATGTACGTTGCGCCATCATACATGCATAGGCCAATCTATTTCGCGACACGTTCGAACATAATGTTGTGTGACGTTATGATTATCGGAGGATATTCAACTCTTCAATTGATAAGTTTACCGAAATCATATTCATTTTTACCTCTAAAGCTTGGTGTTATTTAATATTATTTCCACAAGTGGGTAAAATGATCATCAAATCCTGATATTTTTTTCAAATTTTCCCATTCGACCCCATGGATGGGAATTGCATGGTGAATTGGACACCATGTAGCATGGAATTTGTCCCATGGGAGTTTTCCCATTGGCTTTTTCCCATGGGAAATTTTATTTGGGTTTTCCCCATGTATGGTTTCATATCATATCTCAACAGATTCCAAGTTCCTCCATGGTAATTTTCAATAACATTAACAACTTTCTTTATACATTTTAACCCTGTGTGTTTTGTGCTATTCAACGAATAGGTAAAGCGCAATGTGGAACTCTGATCGGGGTTGTTTCTCGTATTAGGAGTGGCTTGTGCACTCTATGACCAATGTCCACATTACTGCTCCCATACCACTTGTCAAGTTGTACCATATAATTACAGTGTACCCAATTTATTTTCTCATAAATGTTTCATTTAAATTCACTTATCAACAGAAAAATTTAAAAATTTGCAAATACAACACTTGTTATTGAAGTGATTCTCAAAAAAAAAATCCCATGGTTTATCATAGTGTCCCATGGTGTTTGTCCCATTGTGTTCAGTTGGTGAACATCCACAGAAGCTTCCCATGGTCAGCATAAAAATAGACTCCTTGATGACCTCTATGAACACAAAAGAAACATTTTAAGTGAAGTCAAATTTTCAGGCGAATAAGTAATTGTCTATAACTTGGGAGTGCAATTGGGTCTATGATAGTTCCCATGGCACATGCATGCTTTCCAGTATAACCCGGCGTGCATGCATGTACCCATGTTCCCATGGTGTCCGGGGCCATCTATCACCAGATCCTAGTATGGACCATAGTACGTCCTTCAGAGGGGGTGTCACTTGTCAGGCTTTAGGGACTGTCTCAGAATTTGCAAGAAAATCAAGGGCTGCCATTCGGTTTGTATAGACTTTTGCACAAAGTAGCACCAGATCCCTAGGGGTGAAACCCTACTGCCAAAATAGAACAATCTGTTTGATCAATGCCAGACCTCCTGTGGTTTTTGTTCATGCAGCCATGAATGAACGGGCCAAATTCTTTATCTACAGTGTAGTCTTGGGGGAGGTCCTGTGGTTGGGGTCGTTGGGTCTCTGACGTGGATGATGCTACTGGATGGAAGCCAGATGGCTGTAAATTTATGAGTGAAAAACAGTGGGCATGAATGAACCAGGGTAATTTGTGTTGGGAATGTGGGGGGAGGGAGGCAGGCATTGTACAGTACACCATGAGTGTCTGGGCGCTGACCTGGATTGTTGGGAGAAAAGTAAACAGAGTAGTAGGTTGTAAATTTATGAATGGGAAAAGTAAACAGAGTAGTATGTTCTGAAAATTATGGATGGGAAAAGGTTCTGATATGTGCACACTCAATATTGGCAAATGACTGCCTTTTTTTTCAAAATGGACAGTAATTTTGTATGGATGGCTATAGCCTCTAATGACAAGTGGAAAAGTGCATGAGATAAAGCAACTGTGCTTGACAGGAAATAAATGGTAGGAATGTGCACCTTGGAAGGTGATAATTCCATGATTGATGGCAGCACTTCGTGGCCATTTTCAGGAAATGGTCAATTAGAACCACCTGTCTTGGTCTGGCTGTATTTGCAAGTAGCATTATGCACTAGCACAATCTAGTTCATTCCTCAACATGGCTTCGACCAGCAAACATATCGATACCTCTGATGCGCTTCAATCAATTTTGCAAGATGATGATGATATGGGAGATTGTGATGTGGAATCTCTTATGTCAGAGGAGAGTGGTAGCGAGGTGGGTGAAACCTCTTCCTCTGACATGTCAATTTCAGAAGAAAGTGACAAAGCGAAAAGCGAGGACGAATTAAGCGGAAAGTGAGGATGACGAAGATGATGATTACGCGCCTCCTCCAAAAAGACCGGCGCACATCCCTCCAAAAGGGCGGCCCAAGACGGTGCCGGCACAGCCCCAGAGGGTGCAGGCCCAGCCCCAGAGGGTGCAGGCCCAGCCCCAGACGGTGCAGGCCCAGCCCCAGACGGTGCAGGCCCAGCCCCAGACGGTGCCAGGCCAACCCTTGGAGTATGTCGCAAAATCAGGGATGACTTGGACGACGGATGCACCACCAGCTGCGAGACGAAGAAGGGCGAACTTAGTCACTCAGGCAGCCGGACCGAAACATCTCGGAGGCGCAAAGACCAAGCTTGAGTTGTTCCAGCTCTTCTTCACCACCACCATGATGAATACCATCCTCATGTACACAAATGAGGAAGGTCTGACACAGCGGGGACGCGCCTGGAGCCGCGCCATTGCTATGATGGAGCTGTCTTCAGCCATCGGTCTTCTGCTGTTCTTTGGCCTCTCCAAGGTCAGCCGTGCCAGCATCCGCTCTCAATGGCGAAAGGGGCCTTTCGCGAAGCCCCTCGCCATGGCAACCATGACCGGGACCAGATTCCAAGATATTCTGACCCTTCTTCGATTCGATGACAAGAGAACGAGGGAGGGCAGGAAGAAAAATGACAAGTTTGCACCGATCCGTGGCATTTTCGATGATTTTGCTGAGAGCTGCCGCCGGCATTATAGTGCTGGTGAGTTTATCACCGTCGATGAGCAACTGGTTGCATTCAGAGGGCGGTGCCCCTTTAGGCAGTATATGCCGAAGAAGCCGGCCAAGTATGGGATCAAGTTCTGGCTTTGCGTAGACGTGGACATGTGCAGCCACTATGTGCTGAACATTTTCCCATATCTAGGGAAACAAGCAGAGGGGACACAGACCAACCTGGGCTCTAAAGTTGTGAAAGATCTCGTGCAGCCTCTGTACAATACAGGGAGAAACGCAAACGCGAAAACAGCCGTCACATTTTCCTGCACGACCTCATCATGGACCTTGTGAGACCTCAGATTGAGTTGCGAGTAGCCGATCCTAGAGGACTCCATACCAGCACAACCAGCGCATTGGCGATCCTGAACTTCAACGTGCAGTACAAAAAAAAGAAGATCGAGCCGGAAGGAGCTCAGAAAGCCCAGATGGGAGACTGCCACGAATGCCCTCCCTGTCGGCAAGGAGGCAGGAGAACCCCCAGCTTTTGCAACACATGCAGAAGATTTGTTTGCAAGGAACATTCCCGGAAATTCTATGCGACAGCCTGTCATTCCTGCCATTACGGGGAGAATTGAAGTTTGAACTGGACTGTTTTGCCGTGTTTTTTCTAATTCAGTTCTGTACAGTACATACAGCAAACCGGCATAAATCCAATAACTTCCTCTTGGCGCACTTATGCATCACAATTCATATCAATTCACTGCTATTCTTCTTGGTCTTTCTTTTGGTTTGATTTCATGCCATTTGTTTGCGGGTTAATTTCGTCTAGATTTTCAAGTTATATCATTTTAGATTTTCATTCAAATGGCCAACTCCAACTTTTGTTTGGTTTATTTCTGGGCGGCATAATTTTCATTGCTGCGGACTTTTTTGTCTTTTATTCAGCACTGCATTATTACAATGTATTGTTTGGGTCTTCTTTTATTTTATACTCTTGTTTTTTTTTGTATTTGCAGTAACTTGATTTAGTTTTAGATTTTCCGTTTTGTGTTAGTTTTTAGCCAAAATCCGCTTCTGATCGGTTTATTATTAGCGAACCTTTATATTTGTGACATGTAACCTTCTTAGTTTTTCCGACAACATTTATTCGTATTTAGGCTTTTGTATTGTTAGACTTTGATTTTTTAACTTGATTTGCTATTTACTGTAGTTGTTAGAATACATTTATTATAAAACACTGAAAATGCCCCCCAAAAAAATCGTTTCTTTCCTTTTCTTTTTTTTTTCTTTTATTTCATGGTAATTAGTGCGGCCTAATTAGCAATTAACTAATTATAACAAAACAATAATACTGAATTAATCCCAGAAATTGTATAGAAACACTATCAAAGCTCTAAGAAGACAGAAAATTGTTTGGCAATCAACAAATAACGTGATAAATGAGATAATTGCATGTGGGGAGATGATATTCCACCCAGTAACTTGATATAGCTAACTTTATTCACAGACTCCAGCTAAGGGTGAGCATGTTGGTGCATGGGTAAACTGCTGTATAATGTAACAGATCCGATCTCTTGCGTTTCCAATGGAGTAAAAAACTAGTTTACAAGTGAAATATATATATTAAAACCTGCTCTTGAATATGTTATACTTAAGATGATATAAACAATTACTGTTTGATGATAATGCGCTGAGTGATCAAATATGCTTTTTAAACATTCTGCACACAAATAAGGTCAACTATTTACCGAAATGTTTGTTGTTTTGTTGTTTTAGGGCATTCAGTCAGCTTCTCGGAATTCAGTCAGCTTCTTGGAGATGGCTTCTAAGCATGCTTACAAACTGTTTTTCTTCATGCAGTCAACTGTCTTCCTTGCTCTCCTTATGTGTAAGTAAAATGTGCAAAACGAGTAAAGCATCCTTGCGGTCACATATAGGGACTTCGCATCCCAAGTTTCTGTCCATTTCAAAGAATGATAAACAAACAACCTGAGTTTCGTACCTTGTTACAACTTTTCCAGCCAGGTGTGAGGGATGGGTCTGACAGAAAACTTGCCTGTGTTAGGTAACGGTTAACCGTAGAACATTTTACGTTAACAAGTTGTAGGAATCCTTAATACTAAGACTGAATTGAATAGAAACTTAACTGCTTTGAAGAGAAAAAAAAGGTTTACTACAGTCTCGCCATATGTCATAAAAGACCATATGGGGACGTCTCTATAGTCCGAAGTACCATTGGTCCGACGTCCCGTGGGTCAGAAGTCCCATAATTCAAACGAAACCAAACACATTTCCACTCAATAACATGTAAATGACAAATCCATTCAACTGCTTTATCATAGGCCGTCAGTTGAAACTCAAAAACAGGCTGTAAAACGAGTTTCGTTACAGCAACACTTTTTTAATGCACATATGTGGGGTTCAGAACATCACAAACATTATGTCAGAAGTTCTTTAGCAAATCTGCTGCAGTTCTCAATTTACACTTTATCAAAGTTTGCCAATGTCATGTACATATGAGTGACATATGCTAAAAACCCACATTTTGCGGTTTGAGGCCTTGCTTAACTTCCTATTTCAAAATTTCAGCACACTCTAAATGTCAGAAGTCAGCGTATGGTGTGATAATTTCAGAAATCAACCATTGCATTTGCTATCAAAACAGCCCTGGCAATTTTTGTTCGGAGAAAAGTGGGGGGAAAAGTGTTTTGTTAAAGAAAATTTCAGCTCTTTATATATTGACACACTGATTAGCACCGAAAAAAAAGGTTTCATGTATATCAGTATTGTGTATGATTACAATTTAAAGAGAGTGATTTGGCTCGTCATATATGGCTAGTCTCACTGTTAATGTTCACAGAATTTGTTTTTCTCCAGGACTTTTTAATGTTTTTTTAATGCATAAAATGAAATAAAAATAGTAATGATAAACCAACACTAATAAACACAGGAATACATGTAGTTGTAAAATCTAGAATTAAGTTACTCCGCGTTTCCTCAAAATGCCTTATGCTAACTGGTCCTGCTGATAGAACTGCAAATTATTTTATCACTACATCAAAGTTCTCATACAATCTTGTGGAGGATAAATTGTCGGTCTTGCTTTCTACACCAAAAGTTTCAGTTTATGAATCCTCCTCTGAAGTTTCCAGAGATTCAACCACACTTCCATTTGGCAATGTCGCAAATATATACGGAAAGAGAGCTGTGGATATTCTCTTCTGAGCTGATATTTCAACTTATCAGCTCTGTAAAAAAGGATATAGAAAAAAATAGACAGGTTAGTATCAGATGATGCAAAACAAGGATTACTGTGGACTTGCTTTATACAGAAAGAAAATAACTAGTTCAATCCAGAGTTAAATTACTAGAAAGATCTTGTGCTCGATCCGTTTGCCTTCCACTGTAAATATGTGAGCATTGGTAGCTATTGAGAACCCACCTTTTCAGCCTCCAATGCAATATCAAGAAGTTTTCATTTTGAACATTCTATTAAAGTCATTTTTTGTTAGCAATCTGAACAATTGTCAAAACATCTTAATAATCGCGGTTCTGTGCATTCACGGTGCATCGTGGTGACCACTAGCTTTGTTTTCGCGTTGCGTTTTGTCGTATTTATCGTTGTGTCACCCCCAGTTTCCCTCAAAGAATTTAAAACCTTACCCTATAAATTCAAGGTATTCCTGTTTGAATTTAACATTTGTATAGTCATGATAGTTGGCGTGTCCAATTAACCCAAACATGGATTTTTGGTTTTTCTTTGGCATGACACTACACAGTAACTGTCAGTGACTGACAAATGGGTAGACAATCAAGCCCGCGGGAACAGATGGTGCTGTGGGTGCTGCAACACCCCCAACTTTTTGGAATGGGGTGCTGGAATATGCTTCAGCACCCCCTACTCCCGGGCAAAAATGTGTTCCAGCAAGCAGTGTTCTACGACGTTGGAACTGCGCCTCTACGCTATACATTATGCTTGCTCTACAAATATCTCCTTCGTTTTGTTCGTTTCAAGTTTTGCCGCGGCTAAGCGCGGCGCTTCGAATGTCTAGCACAATGTAACACTGTAAATATCCAGAAGAGGTATTTTCTAAATCTTCAGGCAGTGCAGAATCTAGTGTATCTAAATTCATGACATGTCTATGATACTTCCGCCCGCCGCGATGGGAGCTTTGACCCGAAAGCAATAACCTCGACCATGACAATGGTGGTAAAGTTGATACGCTTGCCAGGATTTTTTTATTCGATCTTTCAATAGGGGCAAACGTTAATACCTTTTCCCTGAAGGTTTTTCTTTTCATTCAAAAGCTTCATTGACGTTGCTAGGCATTCTGTACTCAACGTTAACAAATAGCAAGGTTCACACACACATTCCCAACCTAATAGGAGTGGGACGGTCTTTCATTGAAACTAGTCATGCATTACGCCAATTCCAGTGTAGGTTCGTTTTGATAAAAAAAGCTATTCAAGTTTTACCCTCTGTAAATAATGAAAGGTTTGCGGAAACACCATGTGCGAATAATTTCTCAACTAAGAGAGTGGTTCTAAAAAGAACCAGAGGTATAAACTCGACGTTCCAGTTAGTATGCTCTGACCGTCTTCAGGAGAACCAGAGCATACTGACCGGAACGTCAAGTTTATACCTCTGGTTCTTTTCAGAACCATTCTCTTAGTTGAGAAATTATTCGCACATGGTGTTTCCGCAAACCTTTCATTATTTAGTATCTCCACCATGCAAAGCCTCAAATCTTACTTACCCTCTGTAAGTTTTTTTCTCATAAAAACTCAGTAGACCGATAATTCCTTGCCTAGCCCCAAACTTTCCATTAACATGAAGATGCATTTGGTATGTTGGACTTTTATATTTGCCATTCCCGCTAACAAACAAATAACACTGCAAATATATCGATAGCTACATCGTTAAGGCCCATGGGAATATTTTTATGAACAGAAATTCAGAAATTTTAATTGAACCAAAAAACATCCCTTCGGGTTTTATAAGTTTAAGTATATACTTTAGTATATTTCATTTTCCGGGGCTTTAAAGCAGGCCCCTGGCCCTGTGGCCCCACGCGCCGTAAGGGCTCGGAAAATAAAACAAAACATACACGACGGAATTTACTAAATGTAAGAGAGCAGCCTTACAACAATAATATAGGTTTTCCCGGTCGTTAACAAATTTGGCTGCCAAATTGGTGACCAATCACTCATTTTCCGCGAATTTGAATGCACGTTGAGATCAACATTCAATTAGCTAAAACACCAATCAATAACATTTGAAACATGCGATTTTACATTTTAATCACGCAATTTTAACAACAGGGCATTCAAATTAAAACTGCACAAACGAGTATCCAAATTAGCCGGAGCTTCCAGCTGTGTAAGTTTGGTTGAAATAGGTTTATGTCATTCCGTTGTTTAGAATTAGATGGAGTGCCTTTGTTCCAATTTGGAATATGGATATAAAAACTGTCTCCAACAAGATTCTGCCAATACTCTGATCACCGTGCACACTGTTAGCTTGAAGCACTAGAAATATCAACGTGGCAGCTCATGGGCGTTACATGAGAATTTCAAATGTAGATGCTTGGCACGGCAAGAGATCGATGGCTAACAGACCTGCAGGAGACAGTATCCTCATCATTTTAAAATAAAGAGAGACAAAAAGGGACTCTTAGATGATTAAACATCTAAAAAGTTAAAGAGATATAAACAAATATATATATAACCAATTGCAAGATCACAATTGAAAACAGAAGATCAAAAACCCAAAGATAAAGCATTAAGAACATATAGATTTATATGAACACGATAAAAAGAAGGGAAAACATCAACTAAGTTTACTGTTGCCTATATGTTTGTTGTTTCATATATAAATATGTTTAGTAATTCCCCCCTTTTTGTTTAATTTGTTTACATTTTTACTTCTTTAGAATAAAGAGACAGATAGTTACTTTGAAAAAAATGAAACGGAAAATCAGAAATGATAAAAAGGTGCAAGAAATAAAGAGAATCGCGTCGTATGCCTTCGTTTTATTTTAATTTTTTTGAATGCAGAGAGTGCTAAATAGAATGCACGGAAATGAAAGAGAAATAAAGAATCTCATGCAAATAACTCTTTACCAAACCGACTGCTAAATTGAATGATCACTTAAACCGAATGACATAACTTCAGTTTAGGATGAGTTAAACATGGAAATGTCAGGTCTTTCAACGAATTTGAACGCCTGAAATCTAATACGAACCACGGGAATGAAAGCAGGGCGCTACTCCGCTTCAAATTGGACGCTATTAAGATGAAATCGAATGGTTTTTTTTGCGAAATTGGCCGGGAAAACCTATATTTACATGCGATGTCATACATAATCATACAATTCTTTTTCCAGAATTAAATGGAACGAAAAAATTGGAGATAAAAATACAGGGTTCTCGACTTTTCAGTACAGTAGAAACGATATCAGAGCAACAGTATATTCTAAACAAAAAAGTGAAATAAATTGTCTGTATAATCTCAACAAAAACGTATGCTAAAAAAGTCAAATGAAAAAGGCCAGGAATCGCCTAAGATTGCACCACAGAGCATCCATATTCCAACATTTTTGGGGGCCCTTTAAGCCACGCCGTAAGGGCTTTGCGCTCCGCGTTCGCATTAATTTTGTAAGCCTTTAGAAATTCCAGCACCCCCTGGCAAAATCTCCAGCAGGCTTGTAGACGATTCCCACAAACTTGAACTTTGCTCAGAGCTTTTTCGGTGAAGAAATCCGGGACTCAGGTGAAGTGTCTTCCTGTAGCTTTGCGTTTTCTGGCAGCATGCATGAGTCGTTTATTTATAAACCGCCAGGTGAGGTCGGCCGGACTGCTTTGTTCACATGCGCTGTAGTGCGGTACATAGCCTGGTGACTAGGCCCAAACGTCGTGGGTATGCTCGGTGATGCCACTGCAAAATTCAGTCCCTCTTTGGCAGTGAACTTATAGTATCCCCGGACATAAGATGCTTTGTTTTTTTTCCTCAAACTTGACAGATTCTATATGCACTTACATTTGCATCGGTCGATGTTTACGTTTAAACGTTGACGCACCATGGACGCCGCCATGTTTGTTGAGTGTCATGACCTACGGCCTCCTATCTGATGTCTTATTGGACAGTTCACGTCACGTGGTACGTACGATTGCGACATACGCGAAGGATTTTTTTTAAGGTTGCGCGGTACTTGAACGTCCACAATGCACAAAAAGTTAGCTTTTTCGAGTCAAATTATCAAAAAACCGCAGGACGAAATGTGGAGAGCTTCTACAATATCATTCTTTGGTAGAGCATTTCGGTAGAAAATCTAGACCCGCGAAACGAACGAATTTTAACATCCAGATGACGGCCTATCAGTACAACGCCAATTTTGACACGAAACGTATCGGCGAAAACTAGGACGAATTAGAATGCTGCATAGTAACGCTGCACATAATGTGAAATTTATTGTCGCAAATATGAAATTTAGTGAGCGTTGATCTTTCCATCAAAGTGTTAGGATGTGTGTGCTAAATGCTAACCCTCATTAATTGGGAAAACCTACAATAAGAAGCTCATAGAAACATCAGAGGTAGACCCAAATAGAAATTGCGATGTAATGAAAACAAATAATCCTACAAAAGCCCACCAAATGTTTCGGCACAAATGAACTATTGGATTGCAGACATTACAGAAGCTACTTAGCAAAATGAATGTTCCCATGATCCAGAGGGGGGAGGGTGCTGTGGGTCAATCACCCCTGCTATAACACTAAACAATATTATGCCAATAATACCAATAATTTTAATAATATTTACCTCTTTGTTCGCCTGTCGGTAACACTCTGACACAGAGGTTTAGCCAGCGGGGGTAAGGGGATAATTGTAGTTCTGTGCGATGTAGTTTGCATTAGAGTCGGATTTGAACAGCACCCCATAGAAATCCAATTTGAAATTGAATTTCGTATCTTCATGTTAGTTTTTCTACATAATATCTGCTGAGCTCGAAGACAAAGATTCTCCTAGAAAAAAACAGAAACCCGTATTTGTAGAGGAATTGACTTTGGAACTCAAGGCACGTTAAACTGAAGAAAAATGGGTTCGGCAAAGTAAATCACTATCTGCCAATTAAAGAGGATGATTTGATTGAACTACGATTCGTTTGACGGCTATTATGCTCAAAGTCTTCGCAAGAAAGTACAAAACCTGAGAGTGTTTACCAAACAGCACTTGGTTGTCGCATGGAGCTAATAAACATCAAAAGGAACTGCGGTGTGTACGTCTACTTGAAAGCCTGATCCCAGAGCCTTATTCAATCTTTTACAACTTTTCCCGATAATTTTTTCTAGGCTTCAAAACCCTGCCAATTCGGAGGCCAGCAAATCCTGAGCTTGTTTCAATATACCACCCCCTATGTTCACCAGCCTTGCATGTTAAAGGCATAGTGTTCAGAGATTCCTTTACCACCCTTAATTTCGCTTAGCTCAAAGCCCGCCCATATGTCGGGAAGAAACAAATGTAGAGGTTATGTTTTTATATTTACTAAACGAACTCGCTTGCAATTATGTAAAACTTTACCTAACGCGTTCTTGGTACAAATGTTCTTGACAGTTTGTGTTCGCACCCTTGGGCCACAGAGCACCCTTGGCTTCACCTCGGATGCTTTGTGACCCTCGGCTGTTAAAAAAGTCATATCCCACAACACAGCAGTAAACAATTGTTAAATGTATGGATCAAAATCCTTTGTTTTGCTCCTCAGATTATTGCTACACTCCGCATCCTACCATGTCACATCATTGCAAACAGCAAGCGTTCATCAAAGCCTTTGACGTAGTCTCTCTATGGAGAAAGAAGAACGCACGAGGGCCACTGTCCAATTGCACCTTCAATGACATTATGAACAGACCTGGAGTTGTGTTACTGACGACGGCCAATCTAGGCTTTCTCGATATGACGATAAATATGCTGGCGAGCATAAAAAAGATCGGTATTTGTGTTTACACCGTGATTGTTGCAGAGGACAAGAACGTTTACAGGTATCTGCGAAGGAGAACCGAGATTGATCCAGCAATACACGTGGTGATGACTGACTCCGGTGAAGTGCAAAGTGACCTGGTGATGAGCACCGATCACCACCGTTACTTCAGCTTGTTAAAGAAGCGCCAGGGATATATTCTTAGACTTCTGGATCAGAACCTGGAGGTTCTCTTCACAGATTCCGACACCTTTTGGTTCCAAGATCCCCTTCCGTACTTCCAAGGAGACTTCGATATGTCTATGATGGATCCCAGGTCGCCTTATCCGACTAGAACTAACAAGTCACACTACTGTGCTGGTTTTGCTTACTATAAGCCAACCACGGTGACGCTTCAGTTTGTTAAGAAATGGATTACATTTATGGAAGGGAAGGACTATATGGATCAGAGCGTCATGAACAAACTCTTGCAAGAAGATCAACCGGTGCACGTCAACATCAAGCCACTCGACATTAAACTATTCCCACCAGGGCCCAAGTTTTACGAGTTCCTGGAGAAGAACGCCAGCTACTCCGCGGTTGTTATGCACGCCGCCAGTATCCGTGGGCACGATGCCAAGGTGCGAAGATTCAAAAGTTCCAACATGTGGTTGGTCAATAAGACCAGTGACGAACTGGTAGCCCTTGAGCATTCTCTCAATGTTTGATAACGAGCAAATATTATTTTCCTGATTTAACCTGGTACTTAAATTTGAATAGTATACAAATATTGAGTGGCTCTGCGTGGAATGGGAGGAATATTATCGCAAGGTAAAATCTGGACTTTTCCATTTCACGAGGCGAAGCCGAGTGAACTGGAAAAGTCCAGATTTTACCGAGCGATAATATTCCTCCCATTTTACAATTTCAAGCCACTCAATATTTGTTTTATATATATTTGACATATAAATTCTTGTCATTTGATATATTTGAACTTTTATTTCAATACAGAACTGGAGGAAAATGTATTTCTCTCTTCCAAACCACCCCTTTACGAAAATGTTTGAACCCAACGCTGTAGCGCCGGCTTTTTGGAACAATACGCGCTACGCGCAACGCTGAACGCGCATACCAGCATGCATTTGCACACAAATACCGCGTAATGGAACAAGAATGATCCTATAACTGTTTACTAGTATTTCCCATTCCCCATGGGCGGATAGTACTTTTTGGGCCGCGGCGTGAATGGGGGCAATAACGAATGTCACATGTTGTGAGTTCCACCAATCTAATGACAAAGATCTGTATGTCGATTATATAATAATAGGCCTCTACACGTCGAATACATGCTCAGATCTTTGATATGATTTGAATTTGACATAAGGGGTGACTTTCAGCATTATTGCGCTTGGCTGAACTTAAAAGCCCTTGCCAGCAGGCTGTTCCGACCGAGTTTCGGAAGTATACCGGAATCTCGACACATTTATGTAGTCCCAGAGTTTCCAACTTCTTTACTTTTGTTGGCAAGACTTTTTCTTGAGATAATCCGTTGCCTTAAGACAAAATATTCCCGGCTGAACTGGCTATATTTACAAGCTAGAAGACAGCAAATTAATCTGATGGGGGCATAGTTTTCCAATGTCGTCACTATGTGAAATGTATCAGATTTTTGTTGTTCTGCGATATATGCCCCGTTGTTTGTTTGTGGGGGAATGGGGGTAATAATGTTTGAGTACACTTATAATTGTTGGCCCTGTTCAAAAATATTTAATGACGATGAATCACCCTGAGATGGCCAGTTACAAACAGTGGATTGTCAATTTTCATCCATCGCCCCCACTGTGTTATATTAACTAACTTACTAATCGTTAAGCGCTTTGAGATTGTTGATACGATGGAAAGCACTCTATAAGCACTACGATTAGTTAGTTATAAATGCAGCCCTGTCCCCTACAAAAAACAAATATCATAAATGTAAGTTGGGGGGAAAAACAGGTCCGGATGCCATCAGTGTTAAAATGATTAAAATAGCTTCTTTGTTTATTACCAAATGTCTAACTCCTATCTTTAACCTCTCCATAACATGCGAGAGATATCCTAAAGACTGGAAACACGCTTTGGTTAACCAATTCACAAATGCAGTGCAAGTAATTATCGCCTATACTGACAATTATCTCTACACTGACAATTGTCTGTAACATTTTAGAAAAATTGGTGCACTATACTTACCTTGATGAAACCAATCTAATTCCTATAGTTGCCAGTCAGGATTTGGACCCTTCCTGGCCTTGCACTCAACTAAAAGCACCCTACACGCTTTAAGAAACAAATGTTTCCAGGATATGGAGCATGGAGAAGTTACAGGTAGTATATTTATAGATCTCAGTAAAGCATTTGATTGTGTTGATCATGTTATCCATCCTTCTGGATAAATTTAAAAGGCTTAATATGTCAACTTCCTTAATCAACTGGCTTAAGTCATACCTAAAGTGGTCGTAGTCAGTCTGTAAATATTGAGGGCAACATATCAAAGATCCTGCAATAAGCATTGGTGTTCAACAGGGGTCGATTTTAGGTCCACTTTTATTCATAATTTACACCAGTGATCTACTGTCATATGTCCCCACAAACTATGCAGATGACTCCAATTTAACGTGTAGATCCTCCAGTATTAACGAAATAGAAATGAATTTGAGTACAGCTCTTGATAAATTTCACTGTGGTGCGTGAGAAACAAACTTGCACTAAATGCCAACAAAACTAAATGCATGCTTTTTGCTTCAAGGCTGAAAGTCTATAATACAGAATTGAACGTGTACATTGCTGATAATCTTATTTTCAAAGCAAAGTGTTGTAAACGCTTCGAACATTCGTGGCTGTGCTACCCAAAGCAGCCTAGTTGTGCCAACTGTAGAATATTGTTGTACTGTATTGGGAGGAAGGTACATATCTCACGACAACATAAGTGGAGTGACATGGCCGAGCGGTTAAGAGCATCGCACCGGACTCATGTGCTGATGTTTCAGGGGCAGCAGAATGTTGGTTCGAACCCGGGTCTGGTCAGTTGTGCCCCTAAGCAAGGCACTTGACCATTATTGCTTTGTCCTTTGGATTGGATGTAAAGCCGTAGGTCCCGTGTTTTGTGTAATGCAATGCACATAAAAGAACCCAGAAACACTTATCGCTAAGAAAAGGGGTTGGCCCCGGTGTTTCTCACCTCCTGTTAAAACTCCCCTGCGGAGCCCTTAGGAGAAGAACCAACCAATTACCAAGTACCAAGTACATTATCAACAATATTTGAAAAACAGCTGCACGGATTATCCTTCAATGTACCTCCCTCACCCCTTCAGCTGATATGTTTGCTAGACTTTTAGCTGGGTCTCATTTTCTGAAAGAGTTAAGTCGAAAAGGGTTTTCTTGTTTTCAAAATGAAAATTGTCTTGTTATCTAAACAAAATGACTCATGTGTATATAACGAGTTTTTTCACACCATTTACACAGATTCATGAAACAATACAATCAACTAACAAGGCATTGCGAGTTCCTCAGCCGACAGTTTCGCTGTGTGTGGTGCAAATGTATGAAATAATTTGCTTAAACAACTCAGAACTATATAATGTTTAAAATGTGTATATAGCTTCTTTTTATATATAAATATAATGAGGTACTTGTATTTGTAAATATTAATGTTCGTGGTATGTTTAACCAAGGTACTTTTCCTATGGGTTTAACTTTACTTAACCTTACGCAATATATTGGAATGTGTGCAGGGCCCCAATAGAAACCATTTTTTTATTGTTTTGGGCATACCCCGGGCAAAGAAATGAAACAAGAAACGTATAAATAACAGAGGCAAAATACTTGATAACGTGTTTGCTCATTATACAGGTCTTTGCTCCTGTATCAGGGTGCATAGCTGAAAGGTTAGGGTATCGAAATCGATTTTTGCGTGATAAACACGCCACATTCTGACGACATGGCCTCGCCCTTCAAAGGTCTGAAAAATCGCGTCAACTGGTTTCGCACTTGTTATGTTATCAAAGATTCCACACGAAACCACTGGGTAGCTAGACAAATTCGCCACCCTCAGGCGACGACACAGAACAGTCGGCGACTGACTTTTCAGGATCAAGCTGCGCCGAAGTTACGACCGTTGGGAACATATAAGTCGCCGATTTGTTGGCGACCTGAATGTAACTACAACGATATTTATAAAGACGGTCGACATTAGTCGGCGCTCAAAAACCCGAGTCAACATCCGCAAGAGTAGAACTAGATGTTTGTGGACAAACACATGGCTGGTTCGGCAAATTTTGTTGTGTTTTATGCCATGTTGTAAACTGATAGGACAAAGATGTGCAGTAAAAGTGCATAGTGATCATTGCCAATAGTTCCATAGATAAAGGCTTATAAGAATGCACCTTTAAAATGATGTCACATTTTATGTGATAGCGTCATCATGATATTAGTTCAATTTTCATCTAAAACACATCTCGGCTTAGGAACATACCAAGATACAACCAAATCAGACCTATAGTTCTGCAGATATAGGTCATAGAAAAATGCACATTTAATGTAACGTCGTGTGACACGTGATGACGTCATGATACATCACTTCAATTTTCATCTGAAACACATCCTGGTCTAGGTACGTACCAACTTTAAACCCAATCGGACCTTTAGTTCTGTAAATATTCATCTTCAAAATATGCACCTTTATTTTGACGTCACGTGAAACGTGATGACGTCATCGTTACGTCACTTCGATTTCATCTATAAGACATCCCGGTCTAGGTACATACAAACTTTCAACCCAATCGGACCTATAGTTCTTGAGATAAAAGCCTTCAAAATATGCACCTATATTGTGACATCACACAATTCGTGATGACGTCATGATGACGTCAATGTTCGGCACACATTTGCAGGTGCTGGTCTCAGTATAGAGGCAATCGGATTAATTTAAGTGCCCAAGGTGCCTTCCACAAAAAACGTGAACAAATTTTATGGGGAATGGATGAAAAAGATGAAAAAATTTAATAGAAAAAAATGGACGAAAACAAAGGCTGTTTCAGCAAAATGCCGAAACAGCCAAAAATCTCAACTTCTGCGCAGCGAGGGAACGCGTTTCTGACGGTTGACATTAAATCGCAATCGACCTGTGTGAATTCACAATGTCGTGCGCGTATCCAGATCAACTTATTTCATTGTGTAGCCGATCAACATAGTTTCATAACTATCATTGCGGCCGACTGAACAGACGTAGCCGTGGAAGATCGTTTGATTGTATACAAATATTGAGTGGCTCAGCGTGGAATGGGATGTATATTATCGCAAGGTAAAATCTGGACTTTTCCATTTCACGAGGCGAAGCCGAGTGAACTGGAAAAAGTCCAGATTTTACCGAGCGATATTATTCCTACCATTTCACAATTTAAAGCCACTCAATATTTGTTTTTATACCACTGACATAATAGATCCTTGTCATTTGATATATTTGAACTTTTTTTAATACAAAACTGGACGAAAATGCATTTATCTCTTCCAAACCACCCCTTCACGAAAATGTTTGAACCCAACGCTGTAGCGCTGGCTCTTTGGAACTATACGCGAAACGAGCAACGCTGAACGCGCCCACCAGCATGCATTTGCACACAAATACCGCGTAATGGAACAAAAATGATCCTAACTGTTCAATAGTATTTCAATTCTCCATGGGCGGATAGTATACAAATATTGAATGCTTCGAGTGGTGTAGTAAAACTAGCCTCCCGAGGTGATCCATGGACCATTTTATTTTCCCGAGGCGAAGCCGAGGGAAAATAGAATGGTCCATGG